AATCTCCATTTGTAGTAAGTTAAACGTTTTGGGAGTTGACACACTGTGTGAAATATTTCACATCAAGAATAGCGCAAGACAGAGAATTACCCTGTCCTGTATTTTCCTTTCTGCTTTATGTTACTGTTGAGGGTATCGGGCTTACTACGCGACAAAGCATTCATATTTGGTCAGTTCCACCGAATTAAAGGTGCATTTCATGTTATGTGATTACGATGGTCATTTGTCATGTTCCTTAACAATGTCAACAATCATATCCAAACATGTTTTAAAACTTTTGTATGTATTACTTTATTCTTAGTTCCTGTTAATTTACAGTATGCAATGAGAGAAAATCGAGGGAGCATCAGGCCTTTATCCCTTCAATGAAGGACCTTGCAATTCTATGATTAAAGCTTCCTTTTAAGCTATTTATTTTTTTAAGTTTTTACTTAGTATGTGTAATGAACCTGGCAGATGCTACTGTCTCAGAAATGGTTTTGTTTCTAAAAATGGTCAAATAAACACATTTATGTCAATAAGGCAGTGTTTAATGTTTCCCAAAGACTCTGTGTTGTGCTATTGAAGAAAAACAACATACCGGTAATGAGCCATTTATTTGAGTGTAAAAATGTCATCTTTAAATGTTTCTCGGCTTGAATCCCAATGGATTCCTTTAAATACGTCGGAGGCAAAAGTGGCAAAGACCACATCGACAAAATATTCTTTTCAAATTACTTTCAAAATAACATTGCATTGCAAGTGTAATGATATCACATTAAGTACAGATTTGTTTTGGGACCGCATAAAAAAAAAATGTTTGGTTAAGCAGGGTGTCTTGAATCTATGCGAACCAATGAAATCTCAAGACTGGCAAGGAAACTCTGGAGTAAAGTGTGCTGTTGAGTTATAGAAAGCTTGAGCTCGCTCAGTCATCGGTCATGGGTCCTCAAACTGAACAAACACCATGAAGAGAACAGCTAAAATTACTCAGAAAATATTAGACATCGATAATACAAGCAAACATAGAATACAGCTATTAAATGGTGATTACGATTGTTCTCCCGGGGCCTGCGTGGGTTTTCTCCGGGTATTGCGGTTTCCTCCCACATTCCAAAAACATGCATGGCAGGCTGATTCAACACTCTAAATTGTCCCTAGGTGTGAGTGTGAGCGTGGATGGATCTTCATCTGTGTGTGCCCTGCGATTAACTGGAAACCGGTTCAGGGTGTCCCCCGCCTACTGCCCGAAGACGGCTGGGATAGACTCCAGCACCCCCCATGACCCTTGCGAGGATAAAGCGGATCAGAAAATGGATGGATGGACACATACACGCACACACACACACACACACACACACACACACACACACGCGCACACACACACACACACACACACACACATCCATTATCTGAGTCAGAAGAGTCACAGGTGTGCTGGCGCCAATCCGGGCAGGAGACGGGAGATGCCCTGCACCGGTTGCTAGCCAAACACAGGGCACACATAGACAAACAACCAATTGCAATCTCAGCCACACCTACAGACAATTTGGAGTTTTTCCATTGACCTGCTATGCAAAAAAGAAAACCCACACAGGCATGGGGAGAACATTCAAACTCAAGAAGGCTGGGGCCTGGAATCAAACTCTGGACCTCTGTACTGTGAAGTGGACGTGCTCACCAGTCAACCACCGTGCCATGTATATACACACACACACACACACACACACACACACACACACACACACACATATGCACACAGTGTGTGTGCATATGTGTGTGTGTGTATGTATATAAGTCAGTGGTTCTTAACCTGTTTCGATTGAACCCTCGGAGTTCTGTGAATCGGTCGCAGGGGTTCGACAGAGCCTCTACCATACAATTAAAAAAAATTGGACTTATGTCTTGAATTTGTATTTACTTTTTTTCTGTTTTTAATAAATGCATTTTTTAATGTCTTGAATTTGTTCAAAATCATATTTTTATTTTTCACTCAAGAAGGGTTTGGTGAATGTGCATATGAACTGGTTGGGTTTGGTACCTCTAACACGGTTAAAACCACTGTTCTAAATTGTCCCTAGGTGTGAGTGTGAGCGCGGATGGTTGTTCGTCTACATGTGCCCAGCGATTGGCAGGCAACCGGTTCAGGGTGTCCCCTGCCTACTGCCCGAAGACAGCACCCCCTACGACAACTTGTGAGGATAGAGTTTGTATGAGTTATGCCATTTTGAAATACAATGAAAATGTAGATTCACACATTCCCTTTTAATTAGAACAGTGGTTCTTAACCTGGGTTCGATCAAACCCAAGGGGTCGGTGAGTCGGTCTCAGGGGTTCGACGGAGCCTCTGCCATGGAGGGTAAGACCCACGCGACTCAACATGTTAATTAGTTATGACACGCCCGCTTGGCCATCACTGGCTGCAGATGATCACATTACATTGCTTGCCCAATCAGTGAGGTGGGAAATTTAGTTCACTTAGTAGTCAACGTGTGACTGTCGTGATAATTTAAAACGTCGTACAATTTAAAAAAAAAAAAAGTATATTTATCGCTTGAATTTTTATTTTTTCTGTTTTTAGTAAATGCGTTTTTTTTATAACTTGAATTTGTAAAAAAAATAAAATTAAATTTATTTTTACTCATGAAGGGTTCGGTGAATGTGCATATTAACTGGTTGGGTTCGGTACCTCTAAAAAGGTTAAGGCATTGTTTTCTTCTTGACCTTTCTTCCTTCCAAGCTGCTTTTATTCTTATTCACATCTTCCTTTGCCTTGATTAAAGTTCGCTTCCTGCCTTCCTTCATTCACTCCTTTAATTCCTTTTCTTTTCTTTTTTTCTTTTTGTACTTTGGCCTTCCTTCAGTGAAAGTTACTCCATAATCATGCAGCCTTTCTTCCACCCTTCTGTCCTTCCTTGTCTTCCCTTTCTTCCTTCCATCACACCTGTTTTGATTCTTGCTTCTTTACTTCTATCCTTTCTTAACTGAAACATTTTTCTGACTTCCTTCCTTTGTTCCTTCCTAGCCTCCTTCCTTTGACCTCTTTCCTGCTTCCTCACTTTTTGTTTTTTTTTCATTCATGCATCCTTGCAGCCTTCCTTCCGTGGCTTAAACCAACTCCATGCTGAATTCTATCCTTCCTTGCCTCCTTTCTTCCTTCCATTACACATTTTTTATTCTTGCATCCTTACTTGCCAAAAACTACTTTTCTGCACTTGTTCCTTCCTTTGATCCTGCCTTGCCTGTATCCTTTCAGACCTCTTTTTTTACCTTCCTTCATTCACTCTTTCTTTCCTTGCATCCCTCCCTCCTTCTGCCATACCATATTGTTGTGATCGCTGCTTGTTTGTTAGCAAGCTTACGAAAAACTGCAAAATAAATTTGTCAAGTGTGCCTTGAAAGAACCCCTCTTTAAAATGTTGATAAATTTCCACAGGTGGAGTGAGCGGTTGTAATTAACCAACTTCTCCACTCAGCGGCGCTACAGCACTGTGATTCTGCCTTTCCCAAACTTTTTTGTTTGTTGGAATTGTAAGAGTCAACATTTTTCTTTTTGAAAAACAAATAGAAAAAATATATATATATACTTTATTGTTATAATTACATCTATCCATCCATCCATCTTACATCTTACTGAACCGGTTACCAGCCAATTGCAGGGCACCCTGAGACGATCCAACACATAACTGCAGGGTGTAAGATGCTGGCAGGGAAAGCCTACATGGAACGCCATAACCAGGTGGCTGGCATAGTCTACCGAAACATCTGTGCAGTGTATGGACTGGAAACTCCAAGGTCAAAATGGGAAACACCTCCGAAGGTGGTGGAGAATGACAGAGCGAAGATCCTGTGGGACTTCCAGATCCAGACTGACAAGATGGTAATGGCGAACCAACCAGATATCGTGATCATAGATAAAGGGCAGAGGAAAGCCATTGTAGTGGATGTAGCGGTCCCAAGTGATGGAAACATCAGAAAGAAGGAACACGAGAAACTAGAGAAATACCAAGGGCTCACAGAGGAGCTGGATAGAGCCTGGAAGGTAAAGGTGACAGTCGTGCTTGTGGTGGGCGGAGGCATTGAGCAACAGAAAAGCACTATTAACTCAGCGGGTAAAAACTTCCATTCGACAAAACTTAAATTAAATAATACAAAAAGCAATCTGGACTTGGGACAAATCAGGGAACTAATTAAACACATTGTACCATAGAAAAAGGAAAAACAAGGGTCTCGGACATAGCTGAGCAACAGAAAAGCACTATTAACTCAGCGGGTAAAAACTTCCATTCGACAAAACTTAAATTAAATAATACAAAAAGCAATCTGGACTTGGGACAAATCAGGGAACTAATTAAACACATTGTACCATAGAAAAAGGAAAAACAAAGTGAAATAGTCTTTAAACTATTAATGAATCCGGACCGTCAATAAAATGTGACTTACTGTGTGACTTCCCTGGTAGCTCTGCCTGAGGTACGGCGGAAAGCTGGTGCCATACTGTGCGCTGTTGCGTCACTTCCGTCATAATTTAATAAACTTAATGTGTCACTCTGTTACATATCTATCTCTCGATCTCTCTATCTATCTATCTATCTATCTATCTATCTATCTATCTATCTATCTATCTAGCTATCTATCTATATATATATAGATATGTATATA